TTTTTAACGTGTCAAATTAAATTCTACTGCATTTCCTTGAATCCTTTTTGCATGTTCTTGTATGAATAAAAAATATTTGATGGTCATAAGGTATCCTGCATCAAAAAACGACGTATGTGTTTTACTGCATCTATGTATTCAAAGCCACAGATACATTTTCTGTAGTACAATGCACTCCAGTGCAGAGATAAAAGATACCTGGTTGAAACAGCTAAAACTGCATTGGCAAGCCAGTTAAAAAAAAAAAAAAGTAGCAATGGCTGCAATATTTACCTCCTCTCTGGAGCTGTCCCCCACAGACTCACGCCTCCAAAGTCCAGCACTAGCCCTCATTCCTCTTTTTATAACACTGAGCATCATTTAATCCACTTTTTGTGAGCCTACGTTATCAGTCTGCCCTGCAGAGAATGCTGCATAAAGTGTCGCCATGTAATGATGTGGCACTGCTCTCTTTGCAGAAGTCTCTTTGGAGTGCAGGGCTGATTGATGACATACCCCTGAGGGAAAAAACATCTAATAAGGATCTGTGACATCATATAACCAGGCCGTAGACACATAGAAAAGAGTACACCAATGGGAGGGGGTCTCACAGATGGAGGGGATCCTAAGCCCGGTGTTTAGCTTACACCAAATATATAGCTGCACATGTTCCTGCAATGTCAAAATGCTGAATTCTTTCTTATATGTTATGTTTTCACACCAACAAGGTGTATCAAATGGGCCATTCCTGACAAGGCTTACTCAATTCAGCTTTGGCATTGTTATCCTTTCCTGCGTGCACCTAAATTGGACTACAAGCAGTCGTTCCAAAGCACGGTGCTCTGGCTCGTTGTGCCATAATCACCACAGTAAAGCCTCAACTAGAGCAGCCACACATTCACAGGAAGTTCCTACAAAGTGTTTACAGGATGTACGCAGATCAGGGAAAACTGAAAAAATTAAAAATTATTTATTTTTCTAAATGCAATCCGGTTCAGCATTTACATCTACATAACTTTTAACAGTACTCTACATAAATAGGTATTCTTTTGTGAGAGCTTAGTTCTTCTTTACGTTGAGGTCTAGGTTAAGGATCTGATGACTGGTTTGAAATGGGGTTTTCACTGAAGGTACTTTTTGCTTTACATTTAAAGGGTTACTACAAACCTTTTACTGCCCAGAGCTGTTTTGTTTTTTGCACCTAAGTTGGCCACTCAATTGTGCTATATTTCACATGCATGCTTTCCTAATACCACACTGACACAAACCGTGGGGCACAATTCCTTTCCACTGACACGGATAGGGCACAATTCCTCTCCAATGACACAGATAATTGGGAAATATTATTTATTTTTAACTCCCAAATATGAGTAGTGCAACTGCGGAGGGGGGTGTCTGATGTGTACCTTTGCATCATAATTCCCGTATATGTTTACATATATGCACATACTGTATATGCAGGTGTATTATGTATGCATGTGGTTTGTTTTTGTATTTTAAAAAAACAAACGTATTGTTGGATCTTTTTTTCACTGCACTTTAAAGCGGGAGAATTCAACTTTACAACTTTAATGACTGAAAGAATTGAAGCCATTTGATCAGCGTGACAGATAAGTGACTAGATATTTTTTTTCAGAGAGAGATCAGAAATAGTAGCCCCCGTGTTTCTCTCAAGACAGGTTTCTTTTGGAAAAAGACACTGTTTCTGTACAGAAGCTATCCACCAAACAAAATACATATTTTGCCAGATCACAGCAGTTAGAACAAGGATAGGTGACTACTTGCTATGGGTTCCTGAAATGCGTACTACTCTAATCATCATTACATGAGCCATATATATCTATTTTAACAGTGAGTAAATACAATTTAAACATAATGTTCTTTATCTACCCATTTGTTCTGCATCTTTAATTCAGGAACATTATATTTATCTGCAATTCGAGCAGATGGAGTTTTTCTACTCCAGCCCAAGAGGAAAGGAGGTGAGAAAGTCAAAAAGGGCAGATAGACAGGAGAGACGGAACTTAGGAGGATTAAACACCGTCTTCTAACAATACAAAGATAGGATCTCATAGGAAATATGAAGCCCCCCAGGCAAAAGAACAAATATGCAGCTGTTAATCATTTCATTACTCTTGTCACGCAACTTGCGAGTGATTTCTTTGCTGTCTGTAATCCAGTGGCATGGTTTGCTCAAGTCACTGAGCCAAGGAACCAAATATGTGCACCTATGAAGTGAAATAACTTTTTCTGTAAAAGCATACTTTGTGTTGTAAACCTATGCTATAGCAGGGCCAGGGTTTGTAACCCGATGCCTGATTTGATATACAATTTATGTACTTGTGAATGCTATCATTATCTTTTTGAGCTTATTAAATGTTAAAAGGTGTATCAAAAAGCAATGGTGCTATGCACTGTAGATTTGACCTTTGAATTTTGTTCAAGGCAGGCAGAGCAAAAATGACTTTTTATAGATTACTATACAGCAGATTGTTCTTAGATCAAAAGTCCAAATATAATTATTATTTTAGAAATGTAAGTTCTTTGCGTAGTCTCAAGCCAGAATGGGACAATGCATTACTAATCCAGTTTGATAAATTAATAAAACTATATTTTAGTGATGATACTGAAAGCCCCGGGTGGAATTTTTCTAAACAATGACATGAAAAGGAATGTCTGAATAGCAGTCGATGGGTCTCCCGCACAAACAAAACATTTATAATTAAAACATGGAAGGCTGGACATTCAGCACAATACACAAACACCATCCTCAGAATGGCTTCAATCAGATGCGAGAACTGCTGATTTTGTCAGCTGCTGAGATTAATGGATTTGGAACATGCACAACAGAAACAATGCTTTCACTGACTGTGGATGGCCAACATCCAATACATATACACTTCTGCAAAGTGCAAACAGAGAACTATCTGACAGAAAGACACCATCTCAACAGTTCGCAACACAGATCTGGAGCATGTTCTATTAAGCTGCCCATGCACTTCTTGAACTTTGGCCAATTCTTGCTAAATCGACCAAAATATAGGCTGTAGATGGCCCTGTCGGCACCCCCTGGCTCGGCAAAAGTTGACTTTCAGTTCACTTTTGTCAAAGGAGTTGAGTAGAAAATTGTTGGCTGAGCAGTGACTGTACCAGTCACATGTAGTCACTGTTTTAATATTCAGCAGCCATGTGTCCCACTGGATGCTGATTATAATAGCTGGCCCGGGAGATTCCTTCAACCATGCTGTTTAGCAGGCTGAACAAGAGAAACCTAAAGGTGTATGGCTAGCTGTACCGTGTAGTTTTCTGTGGCGTTCTGGACACAATGGAATGTAACATGGCTTCCCAGCAAATAGATATGTCTGGCATGCTGTCAGAGTCTAAGGCAAGGCAGCACAGGCTGTTCTGGGGGATGCTGCTGTTATTGCTATAAACATCTTTCCTGTGTTCGCCTTTAGCTAATTGTAGTAAAGGATAAGCTGCCTGCCAATTTACGTAAGGCTTGAAACCAAAACCTGTCTGAACAAATTTACATAGGAATACTTATAGCATTTTTCTCCATACCCTGAAGTGGTGGGGGTAACCCTGGCATCATTATAAGCCCAAGAACTGAGTGTGTGACAACTGAGGTATCATGCCTATATACACCAAAAGCCATACAATGACCAAAGCAATGTCTAATGAGCTTCATAATTTGAATTATTTTAGCCTAATTATTACAAACATCTCTATGAATACACAATTGCACAGATTCATAAGTTACAGTAATATGTACAGGTGAGTTTTTTTCAAAGGCAAATAACTGTGGAATGTGAAGAGGCCCACAGCAACCTATCAACAATGGTTCAATGTTCTAAAGTTAATAAAAGTTACGCCACACTAAGTGCCAGCACTCATTTTTTTTTAAAGAGGAACTTTACCAATATCTTTAAAATAGCACATATAGCTTTAGAAATGTTTACTAATGACAATCTACAAACAGATACTTCTAGATAACTGCAGGCTTTGTATTCTTTGCATACCCTATTTTTCTTTTCTTCCCCAGTCTTCTGACAGTGGCCATTTTAACTGAGGGCAGGTTAATTCATCTCCCTTTACTTCCTGGATCTCTGACACATGTGACTAGGACATGTGACCATGACCATGAGTTCCCAGTGATACTCTACTGATGTAACCTTCCCAGGATACACTTGGGCACAATTATATAATTTGTGCCAAAGTGGACCACAAAGGGGAAATAAACAAATTGTAAGTAAAATAAAAATATGTTTGTTTAGCTAATAAATGTAAGAATATTTCACATCAGTATGCAGAGCTGTATGCTGATGTGATTTTTAGTAAATTTTTAGTCAAAGGGGGTAAAGGTCCACTTTAACTGTTTTGGTGGTTCCATGTATTACTGTATAACACACATACACACAAAAAAGTAATTTATGCCCTTTTTATAAGTGAACCTGTGTCAAAGCGGGGCAAAGTAATAGGTTCACATTAATGCTGAACCTCTCAACTCCTTACTCTTACCTTCACTTCCTGTTCTGTTCAACTGCAGGAGCAAGAGAAAAAGCTCTGTATAAGCTTCAAATAATGACTTGGAGCTAACATGGGCGGAAGACTGCCTTTTCGTTGCAATGTGACAGTGCGAGGCAACGGGGTACCGAGGGAGCGGGAAATCTGCACCGGGTACCCCCACTTAGAGGGTGCCCCAATGCAGCCCTGGCGGTATGCAGACTGGCAGTGGTGTGCTGGGTGCAGAACGCAGAGAGTGCTCCAATATCTGGCACTGAAAGAAGCCAGAACTGTCAGCCAGAGTAATTTCCATCCAAAAGTTGAACTATAGTTCTGACTCAGCTAGGAGAGAGAGCTTGGTGCTTGAGCATGTGTTGACATAAGTGATCACTGAATGTCAATATTTGAGGGGTTTATTTTTATTGTTACAGCCTGCCGCTGACCCTCAATGCTGTGGGGAAAAATGTACTTGCTTGAAATTGTTGTTATTAAGAATATATAGCATTCATGTTTACCTCAGCTCCAGAATACTGCTGTGTACGCATCACCAGCTCCTCTAGGCTGATCTCAATGTCTATAGGCATGCTTTGGAACCGAAGTGTTAAAATTTCCCTTCGAGTGGCGGCATCAGGCAACGGCACATAAATGATTCTGTCAATACGTCCTGGACGCATCAGTGCCTGCAATAAAAGGTACATGTGAAGGTGAAAAATCTACTCATTATTACACAGATCAACTGCTAAAAAAGTTAACCACAAACAAGCAACATCTGAGGAGGATGAAGTGCACCATTTTATGCCTGACAAATCTACTAAATAGCTCTACAGCATGAATGTGGCAGTAAATTGCAGTCTTGGCCACCACTTACTGCTGGGAGCTCTATCACAGATGCTTGCATGTGTGTGAGTGCACCGGTTTGAGCCAGGAAATAAAAGGAGGCACTATTGTGGGATCCAGCCCACATATGTTTCAAGTTTTCTTCATGAGCTACTAGTCAAAGTAGTGCAAGTTGCCAAGCCATGAAGCAAGGACAGTTTTTAAGATGTAAATGCACTGATACAGTATTCTCTGTATTATAGGATTAAAGAAGGTAACAATTCACTTATTTCGAACTGTCTAATGAAATAATTGCATTATAAAAGTTGGAGGAGTGTCTGACAACATGTTTGCAAAATGTCCCCTCTGGGCAACATCATTTAGTTTCCGTTGATTACAAACAGTGCATGGTTGCCTTGGGCTCTGGGCCAATGAAAGTGTTCCCAGCTTCATCATGTCAGTGAAAGTCATGCAGAAAAATGGAAGGAAAGAGCCTTCCTTCCTGTAACACACCAATAGAGCTAACACCCTTCCTGATGATTCTTTATAAAGGCTGTTGTGCTGGGAACTATCGGCTGTGACCTATTGTAACTCTTTTTAGCTATGCAATAAATAACATGAAAGCAGCAAGCCACTGAATATGTTTGTCCTTGCTCTTAAATGTTCCCATCACACGCTGTTAGCATTGGCTGAAGCTGAAATCAGAGCATCCTCAGAGTGCACTCAAACCTAGAGACACCTACATATCTTTGGTATGCTAGAACTGTGAATAAGTTCTGACAGGTCTGAAAGGCAGATGTCTCAGGTTTCACAAAGTTTCGCTCTGCTTGTATTAATACAAATAGTTTGAGCTCCTTTTTACAGGGATCTTTTCACATGCAGGCAGAAGTCAGCTCTAGGCCTTTGAACTTATTTTCAACATCGTAAAACATCCCTGAACATTTGTGGATTCCTTTGTCAGGATCATCTACCTACTTGCAGAATTTCATCTTGGACGTGAAAAAAGATTACCTTGGGAGTTACTGGCACGCT